TACCTCAAACCAACAATCCACAACTCCTGTTATCGTTACAGCCTATTAAAGTCTACGGCTTAATTTAAGCCTTCCCCATAGATTGCGGCATAGGGGGTATATTTGCCACGCTTGGCAAGCTGGTTTTGTAACCGCAGTTTATTTTCTGTTTTTAGTCATTATTTTCGTGACGCTGCTGCCCACGTCCTGATTTGTTTCCCTCTGTAGCCTCGTACGACTCCTATAGCCCACGGGATGATATGGGGTTCAACCCGACAATCCACAACCCCAAAATAATTAAAATAAAGGAAAGTAAAAAAAAACGCGTTTTTTGTCATAATTGGGTTTTAAATTTTATTCTTGTTGTGAGATGTCCGCCTTGAATAAAACCAGTCAAATGATCGATAACAATCAAAATTAAAAATAGTGGAACAAAGTCCGACAGAAAATCTTGAGTTTGAAAATTTTCGCACATACGACAAAACAAAACGATGTTGACAAATGTCATGTGACAGCTACTAAATATTGCATAATCAGTGACCTTCTCAATAACCTATATTTATTTGCCTGATTTTTCAATAGTCACATTAAGGTTACGCATCAAATAAATCAAAAACCAATATAAAATAACGAAAAAATCTATTAAGGTTTTTTGCACATGCTACTAAATTATAACTACTGATGTTAATAGGAAATGTGCTGTGGAAAGACAGCTATGAATATTGCAATGTCAGTGGCCTTGTCAATGATATTATTTCTTAAAGGGCCAATGCTTCAATGTTCAATTAAAAGTTATAAATCAAATAAATTATAATCTGTAAAAAATATAAAAGTAAAATAATTGAACTGCTTTACAAACAAAGGTTTTTTTTTTGTTTAAGTTGTATTTAATCCCATAAATAAATTTTATGAATATTGAAAAATCGATATCGCAAGTAGTTTAAATTATATAAGACACTTTATATAATCTAAGGCAAGTAAATTTAAATTTTTGTATTTATTTGTTGTCTTTAATAAATAAAGAAAAATGGCAGACTTTCATACATATAATTAGTTGGGAAGAAATTGTAGCGTCTATAAATCAAAAATATCTTAAATTGTTAAGCGTCAGTCCCTTAATAACCTTGTCAAAGAATTTTGTACTGAGAAGGCGTCAAATAAAGATAATAAGATTTGAACCTGTTTAGGTTATGGATGACTTTTTCCAAGTGATATAAGTCACTTGGAAAACGTCATCCATCCTGTGGTTGTTTGATGTTAGCTTAATACATTCTCAACATAATATACCTATCTACATAGTGAAAGGGTTTTAGATTATTGTATGATTATTGTTATATATTTGCATAATATGAACGTATATTTCTGGCATGGCTCCAGGGCGTTTGTAACAAACAGTGACAATCTCAGAAGGGCTAGAACTCAGAGCTGTAAAGCCAGTAAATAAAACAGTAGACATTTTGTTTAAGCTAGTGTTGCCATAACAATAAATTGAATTTTTACATATTACTATGATTGAGATAATATATATTTGTAGGAAGTACTTTGTAACAGACTTATTTTCAACTATATCACTTTTATTTTTATTATTACTCATAGTATAGTTGTAGCGGACAGCGAGGAGGCCGCCGCCCCGTCGCCCCTTCACACCCCGGTGCGCTCCGCGCACCCCGCATACCGGCAGCAGATCATGCGATGTCGCCGACCAATGAGCGCGCGGCATCGCGGACGACGCTACTCACGAACCGAAACGCTCTCTGGCGACATATAAGAAGGGCGTCTCGGTCTGTGAGCCGTTCATTTCGGAAGCGGCACTCGAAGAGAAGAAGCAGCAAGGGAAATCAAGAAGAATCAAGACTCCATAGAAATTAAGAAGACACCCCTCTGTATAGTGTAGTTAATAGTGCCATATTGTAAATAGTTTGAATACAGTATAGTTCGCCAGTACCATCTTTTCTTTAAGCAGTTTCCCTAGCGTACTCAATAAAACAGTCCACTGCGATCCCTAACAAGTTCTTGGTCCATCGTCGCCGGATTCAAGCCAGAAGAAAGAAGAAAGAACATATTTATAGAAGAAAGAACATAATTATTGAAGAAAGAACATAATTGTTGAAGAAAGAACATAATTATTGAAGAAAGAACATAATTATTGAAGAAAGAACATAATTATAGAAGAGAGAACATAATTGCAGAAAAAAGAAGATCATTACAGCAGATCTTCGAGGAAGAAAGAAGTACGTCGACGAAGAAAGAAGATCGTCGGTGCTAACTCCTTCTTCGTTTCTTGTTTACATCTACGTCATATATATTGTCTGTTTCCAGACAATTCCTGTTTCTTAAACCGCGTTTACGCGGCCGGGTGGTTGCTCCGTAACGGTGCCAAACTGTGACCATCTGGTAACGCCCTTGAGGCGGGAACGGCGTCCAATACGTGCGTCTTTTTGAAGACGATCGGAGGTCGCAACGTGGGACTCCATCATGTGGAAGACAAGAAGCCAGAAGACACGGAACGACGACGAAACGCCAGTAGGAATGCGGATATTCGAGGAAGCACCCGCGTCCCCGTCCGATTATCTCGCGTTGGCACAAGCGCCCTCCGCCGCGCCGCAGCCCCCGCTCGCGCCCGCATCTATGCCCGCGCCCGCGCCCGCGCCGCCGCGCCCCGCTATGTCCGTGTCTACAACCGATCGCTTGGGAGAAGTTAGCTCATCCGCGCCGCGCACAGAAACGCTCGCCGCAATAATAGAAGATCTTCCGACTACAGAAACTAGTTCGATAGTGCCTACCGTCGCGCCTGTAGCAGACGTTGTACATAGGCCCGCGTCCCGCGCCCCGTCGGTCCGTTCAGTCCGTTCAGCCCGGTCGAAAGCTAGCGCAGTAGCAAGATTAAAACAAATCGAATATAATGCCGCGGAGGAACTAGCTGCAATTAGGAGGAAGCAATTGCAAATCGAGGAAGATCTCATCAAGAAGAAGTATGCTAGGGATATCGCTCAACTGCAAGAAGAAACCGATAGGGAAAGCCTAAACGAGGACGAATTAGTCGAAAATAGCAAGATTAAGGAATTATTTACGCGGTGAGGCTAGAGAGGTAGTATCGGCTCTGCTGTTTACCGCGCAGGATCCGGCAGACATTATGCGGACACTGGAGCAGTGTTTCGGACGCCCGGAAGTAACTATAGATCGTGCGTTAGAAGAATTAAAACGCCTTCCGCGCCCGGGTCAAACCGCCCAGGAATTAAACTCGTTCGCGATTAAATTACAGAATATAGTGTGCATTATGCAGAAGTTCGACGGCAAGGGTTATTTGCGTAATCGAATGCTGACTAGGGAGGTTACTAGCAAACTTAGCCCTCACTTACGGTCGCCTTGGTGCGATTATGCGGAGCACTACGGAAGTTCGGACGAACCGGACATCGTTACGTTATCCCGGTTCATGATGAGAGAGGCTGACCGTGCGTTAAGTCAAACCTATACGTCCGTAACGTCGACTAAGGAATCGCCCGTAAGACGAGAGGCGCCGCCGTCGAAAAGAATAGTGTTAACACGCCGCGTAGAAGATAGGGCCCGCGACGTAAAGACGTTCACCGCCCAGGAGGACACCAGTAGTGCCTCATGTATGTGTTGCGGGGGTGAACACCCTATCGTCAAGTGTAAGAAGTTAGAGCAAATGGGCTCGGACGACCGGTGGAAGTGGGTTAGGGAAGATGGGATATGTTTCAAGTGCCTGAGCAGCAAGCACTGACGTATACGCTGCAAAGCCAGGAAGTGCGGCGTCGACGGCTGCAACGCCCCCCACCACGCTCTCCTTAACACCCGCAAGGCCCGTACGCCCGAAGCGTCGGTTAAACCGGACGAAACCGTGCTCGTCGCGTCGAGTGTTAGCAGTAGTGCGTCCGTATTGTTAAAAGTTTGCCCGATAACCGTACGCGGACCACGCGGAAAGGAAGTAAATACGTACGCGCTACTTGACGAAGGCTCTACGATATCGCTAATCGACGACGACTTAGCTCGCGAGTTAGGAGCGGAAGGACCGGTAAAGCCGCTCAATATTAAAGGCGTAGGTAACAGTCAACGCGAGGCTAATAGTAGATTAGACAATATAGGGATACGTGGCAAGACGCGCAGCGAGATGTATAACATAAACGCGCGAACAATAACCGACTTAAAGACAGGCTCGCAGTCTGTGAGTAGGGAGTGCTTACGATTAAAGCACTTACGTGACTTACCGAGTTCGGTGTGTTACGACGACGCGAAGCCGAGATTGCTATTCATCATCATCATCATTACAGCCCTTCACAAGTCCACTGCTGAACATAGGCCTCCCCCAAAGAGTGCCACAAAGCACGGTCCTGACCCACCTGCATCCATCGACTTCCTGCATGTCTTACCAGGTCGTCACTCCATCTCGTGGGGGGACGCCCTACACTTCGCCTACCGGTACGAGGCAGCCACTCGAGAACCTTTCTTCCCCATCGGTTGTCGGTTCTTCGAGCTATATGGCCGGCCCACTGCCACTTCAGCTTACTAATCCGTTGGGCTATGTCGGTTACTCTGGTTCTACTGCGGATATCCTCATTCTTAAGTTTATCACGCAGAGAAACTCCGAGCATAGCCCTCTCTATAGCTCGCTGAGCGACCTTGAGCTTCCTCATACGGCCAGCAGTGAAGGACCACGTCTCAGTTCCATAAGTCATCACTGGCAACACGCACTGGTTGTACAATTTCGTTTTCAGGTTTTGAGGTATGTCTGACGAGAAGATGTGTCGTAGCTTCCCGAACGCTGCCCAGCCGAGTTGAATCCGTCGATTGACCTCTCGGTCGAAGTTGGACTTACCTAGTCGGACTATTTGTCCCAGGTAAACATACTCGTCAACAACTTCGAGCTTAGTGCTCCCAACAACTACCGGCATAGGTGTGACATAGACATTGAACATGATCTTTGTTTTGTCCATGTTCATCTTAAGACCTATCCGTTGGGAAACACTATTGAGGTCATTGAGCATAGTGCTTAGGTCCTCCAGCTATTCTGCCATAAGGACTATATCGTCGGCAAATCGAAGGTGAGTGATGTACTCGCCATTGATGTTGATACCGTATCCTTTCCAGTCCAGAAGCTTGAAAACGTCTTCCAATGCAGCGGTGAAGAGTTTCGGGGATATGACGTCACCCTGTCTTACACCTCTCTGCAATTGGATAGGTTTCGTACTCTGGTTCTGTACTCGGATAGCCATCGTAGCCCTACTGTACAAGCACTTCAACACTTCGATATACCGACAGTCAACTTGGCACCGCTGAAGGGACTGCAGCACCGCCCAAATTTCGACGGAATCAAAGGCTTTCGCATAGTCCACATACGCCAGACATAGTGGCAAATTGTACTCTTCGGACTTCTGTACAATTTGCCGAAGGGTATGTATGTGGTCTATGGTGCTAAAGCCCTTTCGGAAACCGGCTTGTTCGGGAGGCTGGAAGTCGTCAAGTCTGCGCGCGAGACGATTCGTAATGACTCTCGAAAACAGCACGTAGACGCGGCTCAGAAGGGAAATCGGTCTGCAGTTCTTCAAGAGAGCGTTGTCACCTTTCTTGAAGAACAAGACCACCGCACTTCTGCTCCACGCCTCCGGTGTAATGCCACCATGGAGGACGGAATTAAAGAGCTTCTGAAGGACTTCAAGTACCGGTTTTCCACCCGCTTTCAGAAGCTCCGCTGTAATTCCATCCTCGCCTGGGGCCTTACAGTTTTTAAGGTGCTGGAGAGCCATTCTAATCTCGCTCAGACTGACGTCCGGGATATCTTCGGAATAGTGTCGGATGAGACGGACGGAGTCGGATGACGTGTACAGCTGCCCATAGAACCTCTCAATCTCACTCAAAATCTCAGGTGTCCCGGAAACAATGCTGCCACATTCTGTCTTCAGCTTTGACAGGTGGCTCTTTCTGGCAGACAGATCTCTGGCAAAGACTTTGGAGCCTTGGTTCCGCTCGATCGTTTCTTCAATACGAGCTGTATTGAAGTTGCGAAAGTCCCGCCGCATGCATTTGGAGATCTGTCTGTTCAGATGCCTGTATGCTGTCAAGTCTGTTGAAGAATGTAGCTTCATCTCCCGTCTAACAGCCATGAGATTAAGAGTGTGATCGGAGAGTTTTTGTGTTCTTCTGCGGCGGGTCTTGCAGAACTTAGCTCCGACCGCATGGACAGTTTCCACGAGCTTGTCATTCATATCGTCCACTTCATTGCAGTCTTCTAGGCGCTGAAAACGGTTTTGTAACTCGAGCTGAAAGGTTTCGGGACTTTGGAACAAAGCACGAGGGGGACGGAGCGTTGACTTCATTAGACGAGACCTCTCCAACTTAACGTTTAGTTTCAGTGTGCCTCTAACCACTCGGTGATCGCTACCAGTTTTCACCCTCGCGATCACGGAGACATTACTGAACAGTTGTCGTCTGGTCGTCATAATGAAGTCAATCTCATTTTTTGTCGAACCGTCGGGGCTCGACCAGGTCCACTTCCTATGGGGCCGCTTATGGAAGAAAGAGTCCCTCTTTCTCCATGAAGTCGGCCAGCTGCTGGCCCCTTGGGTTCCGTTGCCCTATTCCAAATTTCCCTACTTTCAGCTCACCGTTCTCTCTTGTGCCTAGTTTTGCATTGAAGTCTCCCATTAACACCGTATATTGGGTTTTGGAGGAATGCATGGCTCTAGAGATATCCTCATACATTTCCTCCACCTCCCCATCGGGGTGTGCCGAGGTTGGTGCGTAAACCTGTATGACCTTCAGCGAATACCGTTTGGTGATTCTGAGTATAAGGTACGCTACCCTCGTCGACACACTCCCGATCTTTACAACGTTGTTAACGAGAGACTTGTGGACGATAAATCCGACACCTCCTTGGGACAGATGGTCGCCCTCCCGGTGATAGAGCAAGTTGCCGGATTCGAGGATTACCGTGTCCTCCCCCTCTCTTCGGACTTCGGATAATCCTATAATTTGCCAGCGCAACTTGTCTATCTCTTCTTCCAGCTCCACGATCTTCTCGTCAGTCCTCAGGGTGCGTGCGTTGTACGTTGCCAGGTCGAGTCGTCTAAGGTGGCAACCGAACCTCCACCGGAGATTCTTAGCACCCCTTGCCCCGCCGTTACCATGGTCGCCACCGTAGCCAGGAATAGCGGAGCCGCCGGGGACTGGGGGCCGTCTCTTTGTTACATTCATAGGGGGGTATTTGCCATAGTTGCCACGCTTGGCGAGCGGGTTGGCAACCGCAGTTTTTTTATTGTAATTTTGGCTATTATCAGGAAGATGCTGCTGCCCATCTCCTGCCTGTTTCCCTTTGTCGCCTTTTACGACACCCACGGGAGGATATGGGGTAGTGGTATTCTTGACCGCCACTACACGGATATTGCTATTAGGCGCCGACAATTGGCATTTGATAATTACCCGTGGTTTAAGGATAGGACGTCGAATGCAGCCTATAGCCACACGAACGTTATTAGGATGGGTAATTCAGGGAACCGTACCGCGGTTAACGTGTAGGGAAGACGGCGAGAACGTATTACACGTAGAGAGCACTAGCGGACGGACAGATAGGGACATCCGAACGTTTGCCAGTCAGGACGAGGAGCTAACGGAACTCCTCAAACGGCAGTACGAGATAGACTCTATAGGTATCTCGCTAAAGAGTAGGCCGCGACGGGATGAGGAGCGCGTTGTCGACATATTCCAGCGCACTGTCAAGAAGGTCGGCGAGCAATACCAAGTTGGACTGCCATGGAAGGACCACAACATGCGGATGCCACCCAGCTACGAGATGGCAGCTCGAAGACTACGGACGATTGAAAGGAAGATGGACCAGTCGCCGGAGTTTCGTGACGCCTACACAGCCCAGATAGACAACCTCCTGGCGAAGGGATACGCAAGGGAAGCCGAGGGGACAGAGCGAGAGGATCCCAAGAGCTGGTACCTGCCATACTTCACAGTACGGAATCCGAACAAGCCGGGGAAGACGAGAGTAGTGTTCGAAGCGGCAGCGCGTGCATCCGGCAGATGCCTTAACGATTATTTACTCGACGGTCCCGACTTATTACGGAACTTACCGGGCATACTGTTTCGATTTAGGGAGAACGAGATAGCGGTGTCCGCGGATATTAGGGAAATGTTCTTGCGTGTGAAAATCGACCGTCGCGATCAGCCCGCGCAGTTGTTTCTTTGGCAAGGAGACGAGCGACACAGCCCACCGCGGGAGTACGTTATGACATCTATGATTTTCGGTGCGAGGAGCTCGCCGTTTCTCGCACATAGTGTTAGGGATCATAACGCGCGTGCACACGCAGAGACACACCCGTTAGCACTTAGCGCTATCGTACGTAGCCATTATATGGATGACTATTTAGACAGTTATGCCACGGTAGAGGAAGCGGTAAATACGGTGAAGCAGGTTTCGGAAGTGCACCAGCAGGCCGGTTTCACCTTGGCAGGATGGAACTCTAACCACGCAGCCCTGTTAGAAGACAAGCCGGAGGACTTACTGGCGCGTAAGCCTAAGGAAGTAGGCTTAAGACAAGACAGCCCAGGTAGAACCTTAGGGTTATTATGGATGGCTGATGAAGACACCCTAACATTCAACACATCAAGGAATAGGGTGCCGCAAGAAGTAAAGGCGCTACAGCGACCACCGACCAAGAGGGAAGCATTAAGCGCGGACATGTCCGTTTTTGACACGCTTGGACTGCTAAGTTACCTCACCATCACCGCCAAGATCCTGCTACAAGACCTATGGCGTATGAAGAAGGTCGGAGGGGACGACGAACTACCCGAGAAGGCAGCGGAGGAATTCCAGCGGTGGCTGCGAGTCGTCGAGGAGGTATCGCGACTACGACTGCCAAGGTGTTATGCTCCTACGGGGGGAGTAGTAGAGCGGCAACTTCACGTGTTGAATGATGCGAGCGAACGTGCGTACGCTTCCGCGGCGTATTGGCGTATACGATATCGCGACGGAACGATTAGAGTACGATTAGTGGCGGCTAAGGCGAAAGTCGCTCCAATTAAAGCGCAAAGTATACCGCGATTAGAGTTGCAGGCGAACTTAATAGGCGCGCGACTCGTGGAGTTCGTACAGGGCGAACACAGAGTGGTAGCAGATAGGGTCGTGTATTGGACGGACTCTACTACGGCGCTCCACTGGATACAAAACGATACGGCACGTTACACTCCATACGTTGCTCACCGGTTAGGGGAGATACCTGAGAAGACATCACCCGAGCAATGGAGGTGGATACCGACTGCGGAAAACGTAGCGGATCAAGCAACGCGTATGAATTTCACAACCAAGGAAGAGAGCGACAAGTGGTTTACAGGACCACCCTTCCTCTACGAGCATGAAGACAGATGGCCTCACCGACAGGGAGAGAAGGCGGGGGATGATGAAGAGTTGGAGGAAATCGTGGCGCACCAGAGCGACACCCAGGAAGCTCCACACCTGCCAGACATAGAGAGATTCTCTGCCTACGAGAAGTTAATCAGGGCCACAGCAAGAGTACTACAATTCCTCGATGCGGCACGAGGAAGAGCACGAGGACTGATATTACAGCACATCCAGATAGCAGAACGGATGTGGATACAACACAGCCAGCAGGAAAGCTTCGCTGAAGACATCAGCCGCCTTCAGCGGGGAAAGAATTTGACCACCGGCAGCGCAGTAAGGAAGCTCGACCCCATATTGGAAGATGGAGTGCTACGAGCCAGGGGAAGGATCGACGCCGCCGACGTGGACGGTCAAATGAAGAGACCCATTATCCTGAACGTCACCAATTTGTAAAGCTGCTTGTGGAAAAGGCGCATCAGGAAGCAAGCCACGCCAACAGGGAGAGAGTGGTGTACGACCTGCGCTCTAGGTATCATATCCTCCGATTACGACCCACAGTACGAGAAGCGGAGCGGAGATGCCTACGATGCAGAGTACGGACCACGACCTGCGGTTACAGGAGACCTACCACCGAAACGGTTAGGGGCGTTTGCGCGACCATTTACGAACACCGGGATTGATTATTTCGGGCCTCTGACGGTTACGATAGGACGACGGCACGAAAAACGGTGGATGGCACTGTTCACGTGCCTAACGACGCGCGCAGTACATCTAGAGATAGTCTATTCTCTGACCGCGGACTCGGCGATATCGGCATTGCGGCGCATGGCGGCTAGGCGTGGGTGGCCACGGGTTATTTATTCGGATAATGGGACTAATTTTCATGGGGCAAACACAGAACTACGACGGGTAATGGAAGAGTGGGCGCCACAGTTGAAGGATTACGCGCTGACTCGGCGCGTCGATTGGAAGTTCATCGCACCGGGCGCGCCTAACCAGGGAGGCGCATGGGGGCGTCTCGTGTGCTCAGTGAAGACCGCACTCGAAGCCACTCTCCATCAGAAGAGCCCACGAGAAGAAACGTTGGCAACGCTTCTGACTGAAGCCGAAAATACTGTAAATTCTCGACCGTTGACGCACGTACCGGTCGACATCAACGATGAAGAGGCGCTGACACCCAACCACTTCCTACTGTTGGGACCATCGGGCCTGCCAGTCACCGCGCCGTGCACACCCATGGATCGTCGGGCGTGGAGAGCGGCGCAGGGGCTCGCCGACGAGTACTGGAGGCGCTGGGTAAAGGAGTACCTGCCGACGCTGGTCGCACGCGGGGACTCCCGAGATGCTCAGCAGCGCCAAATACAGGAAGAGGACCTCGTCGTGGTTGCGGACGGCAACCTACCCAGGAATGTGTGGCCGCGGGGCATCGTAACGAAGACGTTTCCTGGACCAGACGGCGTGGTGCGAAACGTCGAGGTCCGGATCAAGGGAGGAGTGCTGCGGCGGCCCGTCAGGAAGATCGCTGTCCTCCCGAGAGAAGCTTAGGCTCGCAGGCTACGCCGGGGAGGCCGCCGCCCCGTCGCCCCTTCACACCCCGGTGCGCCCCGCGCACCCCGCACACCGGCAGCAGATCACGCGATGTCGCCGACCAATGAGCGCGCGGCATCGCGGACGACGCTACTCACGAACCGAGACGCTCTCTGGCGACATATAAGAAGGGCTTCTCGGTCTGTGAGCCGTTCATTTCGGAAGCGGCACTCGAAGAGAAGAAACAGCAAGAGAAATCAAGAATAATGAAGACTCCATAGAAATTAAGAAGACTCCCCTCTGTATAGTGTAGTTAATAGTGCCATATTGTAAATAGTTTGAATACAGTATAATTCGCCAGTACCATCTTTTCTGTAAGCAGTTTCCCTAGCGTACTCAATAATACAGTCCACTGCGATCCCTAACAATAGTTATTTAATAATAATAACATAATATAAAAATATTCTGTGTTTGTGTATTGTGTTGGTAGTCCAAATTATATACGAAAATAGTATAAATATAGTAAATAGCAACATTTGAATAGAGTAAAATGATTTAAGACATTTGATA